GTAAATTTGTCACAGTAACACATCTTAGCAGGATAATTGCAGTATCCCAGAGATGGATCGGCCTCCCATGTGTACTGCAGTTTTATTGCCTTATAATTATAATACTAATTACAAAGATGTATTACAACCCCCCATGTGAACAGATATATGTGTGTGTACACACACACACACACACACACACACACACACACACACACACACCAATCAGAAATACTGTAGCCGATGATTAAAATCTCAATGTGAAAATGGGAGGCAGTAATGACTACACCACTGCCTTCCCAAGCCTGAGTGTTTGCGCTGAAGCAACGCTAATGCCTCCCTTTAAAGGTCTGACTTTGAGATTTATTGTCAACAAAACTCCTGATTCCAGTTTTAACAAATTGTGTCAACAACAAAGAAGCAATTAAGCTGCATTCGAATTTCCACAGCTTGTTATTACGAATCAAAACTTTAAAAAAAAAAGAGATCACCTACGCTACCATCATTGCGATTGCACGACAATTTATTTTATTGCTATGTTGCAATGTTTTCACCTATGAGAGTTTCTTCTTGTAAATGAAGTTGTGCCTCGGTCCTTTTCTCCTGCGCACCTGTCACTGCAAACGTTAGTTCGGTGGCGACAACAGCGGAAAGGGACAGTAATTGTAACAAGGCTCTTATGTGTAGCATCAATCAGAGTACAAGAAGTGCAGTAAATTGATACAACTTCACACTTGGAGCGTTAGGTTCTCTGTTCCAGGGGCATATTACAACTGATTATACACTGTTTGTTCATTCAGAGCCAAGACAAAGCGGGGGCACACCCACACAACCTTCCTGGATCTCAGAGGATCTCTTAGGACAATGGTAGGAGGCTGTACACAAGGACGAGGTTTGTCGCCTCACGCACAGGCAGGCAGGCGAGAGCGGATTACGGTTTGAGCCCAGTGGGAGGCAGGAATTCATTTCAAAAACAAGTCGAAAGTGAATCATCTGGGCATACAGAGCTGGCTGAAGAGTCATTGATGCTGTCAGGAAGGAAACAAGCTATTGCTTTTTCATCCTCAAATGTGGACAAATTGATGACCTCAGACTGACACACACACACACACTGAGGCAGGCAAAGACATTTACATCATGGACTTGCATTTTCTCTCCAAAGACACTTATCCTGTGTCCACAAATGAAGGTAAACCTAACAGAGAGATTGAGGACTCTGTGGATGAAAATATGCTCTCTTTAAACTCTGACTGAAGTTCATCAAAGTGCATTCTGCCCCTTCAGCGAATCCAGTTGTGCCTTGATCCTTGGTAGAGACCCACTGATAAGTAGTTAACTCTTTCATGATAAAGACTCCATTAGTGCTGCACACGGAGCTCCGAGGAGGAGGTGGTGGTGGGGACGATAACTCCATGTTCCTAAACAACAGGCTGACTTATCTCCCACTGCCTTCCTGTCCAAGATATCCTGTTTTTCCTCAGAGGCAATGTCATTATCATGGAAAAGGCCCAGCACGTGGACATTTTTAAGTTCACAGATTGCGCTGATATTCTACCGACTTTTCTCTTCTGCATGGCATTTTCCAAGATCATATTAGCTTAATGGGTTTGTCTCATGTTCGGCGTTGTTGTGAGCTGCTAGTACAAAGGTTATCTGGGTGTCAAATCCCTGCAGCGGTTGTGCAGACACGCTTGTGGAGCTGTACCTATCTGAAGGCACGGTCTGTTTATACGAGAAAAGCAATTCAGTGATTTCCTTTTTATAAAACAACATGCAGCTTCGTGGCTCCTCAAATCACCCCATACCCAGCACCTGAATGCAGAATTCGATACCTACAGTTCACCCACATGCGCACAATGATGAATACGATCTCGTTTTCTTCCACCGTGTCCGCACAGAGGCGTGCAAATATTCAAATCTATGTTTGGCATTTTCAGATGAATTATTCAGGCCTAACATCAGAGGCTTGCATGAATTGAACATACAATACCCTGTCAGAGGCTGGCCATCTCTGACTGGTGCGCTCTGTGTTCGGTTGAATGATGAACACGAGCAGTTTGCCTCTCCGGCCATCCTCTCATTGACTTTTAATGCAAGCGTGTGGAACGTCTGATCATTAAAAATCTGAGCGGCAATGTGGAGGCTGAATAAAATCAAAAAGACAACACCCCCAAGTGCCCCTGTCTTTCTTTCTCTTAGTCTCTCTCACTGTCCATTCATTAATGATATCTATAGCCCTTTAAGCCCTTCATGAGTGTTGGTGGAGTGTCTGGAAGCTCTCTAATCCCCACGTTGCTCTTTATTCTGCCCATGATGCTCATCCCCTCTGTGTCAGATCCCGAAGCCCCCGCTAATCCCCTGGTGGCATTGCGCACGGGGCCCCAGCTGTCAGATCCCATGCTGCGCTGCTTCTTGCCCGGCTAATTTGTGGCCCTGCTTGGGATGCTATTGATGTCACCCGGGCCCGTCTAGTCCAATAACTTTTTTTCCCTCACTCCTGTGCTCTTTCCCACTACCCTGTTTCTTTCTTGCTCTCCCACTTTGCCCAACCCTCTCTTGCTCTCTCTTTCTCTCCCCTGGCTGATGATGAAACTCCCAGCTGGCTCCAAGCTCAGGCTTTTGTTCCCTCTGTTGTATTAAGAGTCGATGTCCTTTCCTCCGTGCCTGCACATTACAAATCTGCCAGAGCCCTTCCTCCCCTTCCACCAAACAGCTGAACGGACGTGCACTGGAGGTGGCTGAGATAAATACAGCACAGAGGGCAATTCGAACTAAGCAGCTGAGAGAACACAGACTAAGCATTTAAATGATGGCACATTAAGAATCCGAGGAATTCTTAATGTGGCCTAAATTCTAAGAAGTTCAATTAAGAGCGCTTAACAATGCATCAGTATTCTGGGTTGCTGTCTTTTTTTTTTAATGAGAGGAAGGAGGTGGGAAGAAGCACACAGGAAAGGGAAGGGTGGAGGGTGAGGGTGTGTGTAATGATTAGAGCTGTTTTCTTTCATTATAAGCTCCTCTGCAGCTCAGTGGAGCTCAGTGGGCTGCACAGAGATTTTGGACAGCTCGGTGTCGCCCACCCAGGCTGCCACCCGCCTGGCACGAAACAGTGTAGACACAAAAACACCAGCACAGGTGTAGACTTCAGAGCTTTTACTGAGCATAGAGAGAACCACGATTGCAATATGTTGAAATGTTGTCGCTTCCTGAATACAAAGTTTATGATTTTTGAAAAACAAAACAAAACCCAAAGCAATCAATGCTGAAAATGGGAACTCTACAATCTAAAAAAAAAATTCTGTGCAAATAAAATGCATTTTACATATTTTTTTATTTTGTATAGTCTTACAAAAACAGACACAAGCTGTAGTTGTACTTTGTGTACTTTTCTGTAACAAGTAGAATGTAGTTTCTTTTGTGTATACTTTCTTAGCTGAGGTTTTAAAAAAACTAATCAAGGACGTTGCTCCATTATTTGCCAAGGCTCTGCATCTTTTTTTCTTTTTTTCTTTTTTTTATATGGCACAGACTGTACAAGATGGATGTACAAGATGAGTGCTTACTCAAAATATTTGTTCCCTTTTTTCAAATAAAAATGTATATAAAATCATGAAAAACTATGGAGAAATTACAATTAATGAGTACACATTATCCATTATCCATCTATCCATTTCTTCCACTTTTCCACTCCAGAGTTATGGGGATGCTGGGGTACACCTTGGACATGTTGCCAGTCTATCACAGGGTTAACACAGACAACCATTCATACTCAAATCCACCAGTACAGCCAAATTAGAGTCAACACTGAGCCTAACACCCATGTATTTGGACTGTGGGAGGAGAGTGCAAACAACCTCACCATCATGGTGCAAGTAACTTATGATACAAAGAGTAAATCCAGCATCACACAGATATACAAATTGAACCCCAAGTTGCCACTCTGATGTGTTGAGAGTATGAATGTATAAATGTTATTTTAAAAACACTTAAGAATAGAAAAGGTGCTTAAGTGACTATGTGGGTGAATGAGGCTTATAGCAGGAAAATTCTTTCAGAACTTCAAACTGTAATCAAGATCATTTAAAACAAAATTTAAAAAGGGTTATGTATGATGATTATACATATATTTTTAAATAGTTTCTTATTTTTCATACTCCCAGTTGTCTATATGCAATCTGCTTCTATCTTAGCTTGATTATAGGCTTTTAACACTGTACAAAACATTCAGTTATAGGCAAAATCCTGACAGTGTTTTTCTTTGTTTTTTTATTCAAGTCAAATAAGAACTTTCCCCATTTGCATGTAGTGCCTTAAACACAGAGACAGAGCCAGTGTCAGCTTTCTGTGGTTCGACACAAAGTAAAAATAAATGAATAAATTCAGGCTACATGTTGCAGGCTGACTTTGTATAGCATCTCTGTCTGTGACATTAGTCTTGTGTAAACTCAGTGGCGCTGTGGTTTTTTCTACGTTCACACTGCAGGTCTTAATGCTCAATTCCGATTTTTTGATCAAATCCGA